TCCGCCGGAGAGTCTTGCCGCCTGCTGAGCTGGGAGCTGGGGCCTGGGGAGCAGGGCGGGGCCCAGCCCAGCGTGCAGCTCCCGTGCACGCACCCCGCTGTTTTTGTCTGCAAGCAGGTGCTGGCGTTCTGCGTCAGAGGTTTCCGTCCTGCCGCAAGTCGAGGTTAGCCTCCGACATAGCTTGCAAAGCGCTAGTCGGTGAAGGCAGGTTGCAAACAGCATTGCTAACGTCGGTGTCACGGGTGGCAGCGTGCCCATTGGTGTCATGGCTGTGTCATGTCTGTCAGTAGTCTGCTGACCTGCCAGGCTCTGGAGTAGCCTAGCATAACCCGTTAGTCGTTTTTAAAATGTCTGCTAGTCACTTGCTAGCAAACCATTTCCAAATGGAAACTTCTGTCAGGGCTGACGGCGTCTGTCAGGAAGGGCTTTGGTGACAGGGGGCAGGGACCATCTTAAACCCCCCTCAGCAAGGGTTTGGAAAAGGAAGAGCAAGGGTTTTGAACAGCTCGCCTACCCGGGGGAGAGTTTCCCAAAGTCATCAACCCAGGGAGCTATGCCGCAATTCCTGTTTGTCTCTTGTGACATTTGCATTTTGTTCTTTGCTTTAGAACCGCTGGGTTGCACAGATGCTTCTCAAATGTCCCATGGCCCATCAAGTTAGTTCAGCTGTGCTTGATTTGGGGTGTTTCTGTGCAAGGGAAGTGAAATTGGTGAGCCTTTAGTTAGTTTCTGCACTTTTTGCAGAAACTAACTTGAAGCAGAAGTTTCTGATTTTGGCTTTGTGGTAAGCACTGGTTGAAAGATTTGCGAAAAGAGCAGAAACAAAGTTGAACAGAGCCCCCTGTGATTAATGTGGAAAGTGGTTTTGGGCCTGGAAGGAATAGGAGTGCTGATCTGAGCAGTGTTGAATGCTCCTGTTTCACTTGGTTGGAGGTTGGTCTGGTGGTGTCATCACTAAGCAGCACTACATGTCCACACCCTTCCCAGGAATGTTGGTAGCAGGTGTAAGCAAGTCAGATCCTGTCTGTTTTTCATACCAGGCTCTTGCCAGCTGGCTCACTCTTCTGGTTAGCAGATTGAGGTACATGTTCAATCCTCAGATCAGATTCCAGAGTGTGTGGGCAGGCAGGACAAGCAGATCAAAGCTATCGACGTCCCCTGCGTTGAGGGGAGACACGGGTTACACAGCCTGTGCACTCATGCCAGAGCTCCTTCAATTTATTCTTTTCTTATTTTGGATTTAGCATCCATAACGTACTGGCTCTGCCCTGGTCAGAAATGGGCTGTGTTCTGTTTTACTTAGGGCAAGGGAAACTCTATCCTCAGCACCTTGTTCTTCCCTGTTTTACTCCAGCCATCAGTACTGCACTTTCAGCTTCCTAGAGCTCCGCTGTTGTTCTTCTGGCCTGGGTCAACATCACAAATTGAAAGGCAGTGCACTGAGCGCAGCTCTGGCAACCTCACTGACTGATGTTTGTTTTTTAGTGACTGTTATGCTGGAGGAAGGTGTTCCCTGGACAGTCCTGGAGACAGCAGCACTATTTCTAGAGCAGGTACAGTACAGGCAGCAGCCAAACAGACCTCTTATTCCATGTCAGGCCTTTACCTTCGCTTGCAGAATGTCCCTAGGAGGGGGAGGACTGGTCGGCACTTGGTCTTTCTCTTGCGACTACTAACTAAGGAACCTGTGGTGTCGGGCTTGTTGCAATGTGAACTTGCACCTGTGCCCTAGCAAACTGGCATGCGAAAAGCATTGCCAAAAAAGAGCAGCAGAGAAGCTGGGTCTCTGTGCCTGGGAGACCCCTTCTGAGCTGTAGAGATCATGTGCAGAAAACAAGCGCAGCTCCACTTGTAAGGTGAGTCAGCATTCTTGGGGTGATTAAGAACTGGTTTGCCAGTTGTACTGATGTTAGGCCTGTACATCTTTTACATCCTTCCAGTAGAGCAAGTCAGATAGGAGAAATTATTTAGCTAGTGACTATACAGTGGAAAGGAAGGCCTGGTGACAGTGATCACTGGTGATTTTGTTGTTTTTGTAATAGCCTGAGGACACAGGCCAGAAGACATGTTTAACTAGTGATGATATGTTTGGAAAAAAGCTTGGATATACAGAGTTTTCACCAAAAGTGGTATAATTGATACTAAACTCTCAACAGTTGTTCTCACCTTGCACTTACAGTGGTGACCTGCTGCTTCCATTTTGGACCTGATTTCAGGCATTTGTGTGCCTGAAAGATTGTCCAATTTCCAGCTCTGATCTCTCTTATTAGAGAGATTACCTCCTATATACAAAACTTGTTCCGAAATGGGGATGGAAATACCATATTCTGTTCTTCCATGTGCGACTTTCTGCAGAATCCACGAGTCAAATAGCTATTTTGTACTATTTCTGAACCCTGCAGATTGCCTTGGTACTGCGTCCCTCCATCCTGCTGCAATGAGTGGGAAGTCCTTGCTCTTAAAGGTCATTCTCCTTGGGGATGGTGGAGTTGGGAAAAGTTCCCTCATGAACCGGTACGTCACCAACAAGTTTGACTCGCAGGCTTTCCACACAATTGGTGTGGAATTCTTAAACCGGGACCTGGAGGTGGATGGACGTTTTGTGACCCTCCAGATTTGGGACACTGCGGGACAGGAGAGATTCAAGAGCCTGCGAACCCCCTTTTACAGGGGAGCAGACTGCTGCCTGCTGACCTTCAGCGTGGATGACCGGCAGAGCTTTGAGAACCTCAGTAACTGGCAGAAGGAGTTTGTCTATTATGCTGACGTGAAGGACCCTGAACACTTCCCATTTGTAGTCCTGGGCAACAAGATAGACAAGCTTGAGAGACAAGTGCGCACAGAGGAGGCCCAGGCCTGGTGCATGGAAAATGGTAACTATCCATACCTGGAGACTAGTGCCAAGGATGACACCAATGTGGCAGTGGCCTTTGAGGAGGCTGTGCGACAGGTGCTGGCGGTGGAGGAGCAGCTAGAGCACTGCATGCTGGGCCACACCATTGACCTGCACTCCAGCTCCAAGTCAGGGTCTTCCTGTTGTTAAGAGTGGCTGCTGCTTCAGGAATGTCACTCGAGCCGGCGGCTGGATCGGAATAAGTACAGGCAGCTCTGGGGCACTCTGAGGAGAGTGGCTGCAAGGACAATAGGTGGCTTGCTACTGGAGAGTTGCAGCCTCACCATCTGAATTCTGGCTGGAGTCTTCAGGCACAAAGGATATATCTGCAGGAGGGAGCTGTCAAAAGAGCATGTGAACGTAGTCCTGCTTCCATCTCTGCCTCTTTTAGCAGGTTTAAAGGACTGGATTAAAGTCCTTTAAATTCACTAAAGACAGTGAATGCTGATCTGTACCAAGAACTGCCTCCTGAACAAAGCTGAGAGCGCTCTAGACACTCTTTGAAGTATTTTAGTCCTGAACTCAAAAAAAAATACTAGACCCACTAAACTCATGACCTTACTGCCAAAGGAAAGTTTGCTCAGCATACTGAAAGAAACCTGTTGTAGAGACTCTAGCCCACACGACTGTGAGAATGCCAAATACTAGAGTGGCTGAGATATATGTCTATCTGTTGTTTGGGATAAGTGCATTGTCCTGAGACTGAATTGTGCTGAGAATTGTTAGAGCTCTGATCTGAAGCAACATACAAAGGAGAGATGGACCTGTGTTTGAATGTGGCAACATCGCTTCTTTGTAGCTGCCTATTTCTGATCTGTTTTTCCTCACCTCTAACTTTGTCTTGTGTGACTGTTATTTTGTGGAGAGACTGTCTGCTTCTTGTTTAATATATGTTTCCTTGTCTCTTCTGGAGGCTCAACGCCGAATCTTGCTTCTCATACCTTGAAGGCCTGGATAAAAAATACCGATGTGGACACTTGCCGGGTCATGTCAAAGGGTTTAGAGTTACTCAGGAGTTCAGGAGATCTGGAGCGTGAAACTTCAGCTGGTTTCTGTCACAGGTAATTGCCGTGTCCAGATGATATGCTCTAGCAGACCGGATGGTAGGTGGGTGGGATATCTCCTAGGTGTGCAGGTGGCTGGGAGAGTCATGTGGTCAGCTGTTAAATCCACTCACTCGGTGTGCGGGGCTGGTGACCGCTGTGCTTCATTAGCTGGCGGACCAGCATCTTCAGTTGCTTTAGCATGGACGTTCCCATCTGGATGCTGCAACATAGGGCCATTCACTTTATTACCTGTTGTGTCAGGTGCAGTGCTGCTGAGCACAGTTAACTCATGCCGTTGTCCTGGCCCTTACTCCCTAATGGGGAGTCCAGTACGTTTTATCTATAATTCATCTGACAGACTTTACTGGTAGTCCACTCAGTTAACTGGCCTTTGTTAATGGCTGCTGTGTTCAGTACATTGGGGAGACAGCTGCACTGGTTCCACCTCTGTTCAAGGTGGCTGAAAAATGGTATGGGAGGGGGGCAGGGAACCTTCTAGAAAAGGACACTAGGCTTTGCTGATTGCAGTTCCTGCACCCTGCTAGGTGTTAGTCCCAAGCTATCTGTGTAGCAGAGAGATGAGTGCTTGCTGACTGCTGTCTTTACCATTATAACCTCATGTCCTGCAACTTCCCATGCAAGCATTTGCCCAAAACTATGACTTTGCCCATAAGCACATAGCAGCCTGCCATGGGGAGAGCTTCCCCGAGTACGTATCCGCTAGCTGCTGAATGCGATTCCCACTGTGATGAGCTACTGGATGGTAAATTTTGTAGCTCAAATCGAGCAGCCTCACTTACGCTGTGCTTTAGAGCAGGGTAATCTCTGCCCTTGTGCTGGCTGGTGGCAGCTAATCCCCATCGCCGAGCGGTCTTTGAGCATGTGGGGAGTCTCCTCTGGCGGAACTTGGGGTGATCCTGCCCATCTCTGCAGGGCAGCCACATATGGAAGGGACTGAAGCTTTACTGCAAAGTGCTTTAGAGGGATCTGATTTCTAAACAGGGCTGGACACTCATATTCATGGGGATAGATAGGGAGTGCTTGCAGTCTCTGGAAAACCAGGTCCCTTGAGGTATAGGAGAAGGCTCTGCCTCTGTAGGTGCAACAGATTTTTACAGGATATTAAAGTTATTGTTACTGTTTGTTTACCGATGTCTGACCTCCCCAGGCCTCGATTTTTCTTCAGTTTAACACTGCTTGATATTTCCTTCAAGATCCCAGACTGTGACCTATGGTTCCGATTTACGTCTCTGAACAGACACGTTCCCCTGGTGCTGGTTTGTGCAGGGGCCCCGGGGCCGGAGCAGGCTCAGGCCCTTGTGCACTGCCTGGCCCCCCCAGAGGGGCTGCTGAGGGAGCTCCCTGCAGGTGAAACTGCAGCTTCACCAGCTTGGGTCTCATGGGATCTGGGTAAGGACTAGCACCTCCTGTGGGAGAGGGCAGAGACTGAACAAGCCACGGTGTAGAAGGCAAGGGTGCAGCATGCTGTTTGCAGTACCCTGGGTGTGTGTTGATGCTGATAGCTGAAGCTCAAGAGCCTCATTGTGCACAGGCTGAGCAGACGGTATGTATTGCCAGAGGGTGTTACACACATCTTTTATTCCTAACAGACATTGGATTATTGACTATAAAAAATAAAAGCTATTTTATTAGGCTTATGTGTTTTAAAAATCCATTTAAAAAAGTATAGTATAATATTTAAATTGTTTAATTTATTTTAAATGATACGCACAATTTCCAAAGGAGCTAGGATTTTGAACTCTTTCTTGCAAAGGTCAGTGCCAACAGCCATCCCCTCCCTGTGTCCACTCATGTTGCTGTGGTTGTTGCTATTGCTACAGAACTGGAATTGTAAAACCGAGATTCTACCTTTATTTAAGCAAATAAAACGTGGATGTATTCAAGTGAACTCAAGAAGTGGCTACCTTCTTGGTTTATCACAGTTCAAGTTGGCTCCTGTTGTCCTGAGGGATGTGGAGCTGGGTTGGTTATAGCATCTGGCAGAGGGAAGTCACTAAGGGATCACAGGGGTTGGTTATTCCTGAATGTACCTAGCTAGACCAGTAGTTGAAGGAATATAACATTTACTAGCTGAATCCAGTGACCAGTTTTGTCTTTTCAAGAGTGTATCAGAAAACACTTCCATAACAGAAATATTCCACGTTGCTTCCCTCTGTCACTACATTTTAATTTTCAGCCTGGGCTCTCAGCAGCAAGCTGGGTACTTTACTTTGATTTCTTCCTGCGATCTTGGAACCGATCCCTTGGGCTCCAGGGGGTTGTAACCAGGCATGATTTCCATAGGATGCTCAGACAGAAATCAGCATATGGGGACTGTTCTCCTCCACTGTCCTGCCAGGATGGTCTCTTATTTTGGGAGGCTTTCTCTGTGTTTGCAGAGTCTGTGCCTGCTGTTTCTGTTGGCAGAACCTTCTGGTTTATTTTTCTCCCGTGTCTGCTTGCCTATCCATGCTTCCAGAGGCAGCATAGGGTTTCAAGTCCTTGGAAATCCTGCTTTTTAAATGTGGGCTGGAGTATCTGGGGGCCTCCAGCATCTTACTAGAGCTGAAAACAGACAGCCAATGTCACCTGGTGGGAGATGGTCCCAGCCTTGGAGGAGTCATGGGGGTTGGGTGAGACTGTCTCACATCAGTGAGTGTCATGTCTAAAACCATCAGAATCACTGACTCCCCTGATGTGAGATGTTTGTAAGAAAACGCAGGGCAGAGGCAGGAGCGATAGTGAGGCAGTTCCCTCATTCCTCACTTTGCCACTGCAAGCAATAGCGGAGGGCTCAGTGGGTTTTGTCACGGGCTGGGGAGAGGATGGGTCCCTGGAGGGCAAAGGAGTGTCTCCAAAGGAAAGCAGTGAGCTGCTTCTGTGTGGAACAGAAGGAGGAGGAGTGGTGGGGAGTCTCCTGGTCCCATCCATCCCTCTTGCCCACAGCCCTCTTGAGGATTTTGCTGCTCTGGACCAGGTAGCGCAGCTGTAAGGCTGTGCAGCTGCTTGGTGGGCTGAGGAAACTGAAATATTCCTAGAACCGCTAGCGGAGGAGCCCCAAATGGCTGCAGATGCCCTGGAGTTGCTGTGCTCTCTGGGTGATCCAGGCTGCTCACACATGGTGCATTTCCCGAGTGCAGCTCCTCCCTAGCTCCAGAGGCTGGCTCCTCGCAGGGGTACAGCTGTAAGGAGGTTTATGGGAACATGATCTCTCTGGGGACTGCATTTTCTTACATGTGTCTGGGGGTGAGCAAAAAGATATAAAGAGTCTAAAAATGGCCTTTCAGGAGCCTCTGAACCCCGCTCCAGGCTCCAGTTCTTAACAGGGAGTTTGCTGCAGCTCTGGCGCCAGTGGCACTGGCATGGTCTGCTCTGGAGGAAGGAGCACTCCCTGCTCTGCCAAGAAGGGATGTGGTGGGAGGCAATGGCAGCTCCAACAGTGGTTGCCTGAAGATGTCAGGTGAGTCAGAGTTCCTTGACTGGGAGGCTGGGGCCTGGGACGATCTGTGAAGTTAGTGAAATGGTGGGTTACCTCCTGATGCGATTGCTTGGGCAAAAGCAATCTGGGATGGACAGAGATACCCCTTGACCCTAGTGCTTGCATGGCTGGTGGAGCAGTTCTTTCCTGGTGGCTTCAAGGGGTCCTTCATGGGCTGGTGCATGTGGCCACGTGCAGATGCAGGACTCCTGTCTTCATGAGCAACAAAGTACAGCATCTGCCTGTGCTATTGTCAGTCCTTTCTGTGAGGACTTCCCACTTGCTATTCCCTCCTTGTCCCTGGGCATCTCCCTAGCAAAGCCAAACTGTGCAGAAATGGAGAGGAACCAGCTGGGTGCCTGAGAGGCTGCAGGTGAGACCTTCCTCTAGGGCAGATGGGCAGCAGTGACATGCCATGGCCCCGGCAGGCAGGGCTACTCACCGGCTGCCACCCCTGCCAGGTCATCACTTGCAACTCGCAGCCCTTTCCCTGCCCGAACTGAAGCCAGAACAGGACTGGGGGGAGCTGCTGGAGGGGAGCAGCGTGAGTGTGCCCTGCCGTGGCTGCTGTGCCTGCTGTCTGCTCTGCTGAGTGTTAGTGCAGGCAGAGGGATGGAGGGCTGAGCCGAGGCAGTGGGCAGCCGTTGGGTTTGCCTCTAGTGCTGCCGCCTTTCCCTGAGCGTTCCTGCTTGTCCCACACAGCCCTACCTCAGGGCTGAGCCTGAGCCCGAGCCCTTGCGAAGAGAGCGAGGCAGGGGCCTGTGCCTGCCTGTGTGGCTTCAGAGGAGTTTGCTATGTAGTTAGGGGCTTGCAGACTGGCTTTGAATGGCAGCATCTGAGCGTTTCATGTAGCTTTTATTTGCTATTCCCTTGACTGGACTGTGCAGAACTGAGCCCAATTTAAATGAAGGCACTAGAGGAAGACGGTAGTTATTTTGTCTGATGTGTGGCCGGTGGGCTGGCTTTGCTTTGGAGGCTCCCAGGGCACCCTTAGCAGGAGACGTGCCTTTGCAGGGAGGGCTGCCCCAGGGAAGCACGGGCAGCGCAGCGGCAGCCACCGCGGGGGGCGGGCAGCGCACGGGAGGCAGGG